TGCCCTCAAGGGCCTGGTACCCAGCATTAGGGCCCTCCAAGGAGTGGTATAAAGGGCCGTTTGTTTTGGGATCCTCGTGTGGTCTGCTTTTTTCATCTTTTAAAGGTAGGTCAGTTGTGTAACTATAACAATACTCATCGTTGTTGTCTAAGGTATCACTACTGCCGGCAGCGTCTGTGAATCTCTTAAGATGCGCGTCTTCGTAAACAGCTTCCTTTTTCCGCCCTTTTGAAGGCGAACCAATCGCTGCGCGCTCCTCTTTCAACACAGGCTCGTCATAATCGGAATCAGATCGGAAGCGCTCGGACGACTGCTCGTTCTGACCGGACAATGCTCGGTCCATAATCGTGCCCATTCCGTAGGGTCCTTCCAACACCTGATATAAAGGCGTATCAGGCGGTCGAGAAATGGTGTCCGTGACGTCTGAAATTTTACGAGAATCTACCAGAAAATAAACGAGGAAAGATTTAGACTCACTTGCACGACAAGAAAAAAACAAAGTGAGGCACAGCAAATACGACAGTGGATTTGCTAGTCTTTGTATTCTCTCGTGGGTCGAGAGGCAGAAAACCTGAGAACAAATGGCAGTGGGAAAGCTGGAGACAAGAAAACTCCAGTGCCCTCATCTCCAATGCCCTCGCGCTACTTTTTTCCCGCGCTCTTGGCGTTATCGACCATAGCTCATTGCGCCGTTACCCAGTATCAACCGCATGGCTACGAATTATAAAAGCGTTATTTACCTGTGGTAATAACTTGGTTATTACATCCGTTAATTGCAGCCGCCTCCACAGAACCCAGAATGGGATTTCTTGAATCTTTTCTTGGTTGGCGCTCTAACCAAATAATCTCTTCCGAGCGAATAGTATCGCTTGGAGCTGGGAATAGCGAAAGAGAGAGAAACTTAAAAGTCTAAGAGCTAATTGAAACGTAAGATAATGGTGGAACATCCTCTGAGATGTCTGTCCCAAGCTTTCCCATTTCTTTACTATCCTATTCCGTTTTGTTGTGCCATTTCCTCGTTTCGTGTTTTTTTACTCTGGCACGAAGTTATCTCGAAATATCTTTCGTTTTTGACTCATTTTCATCTGCTGGAGTACTCTTCACTAGTATCCCTTATGAGTCCAGCTATTTTTAATTACCTTCCAAGTTAGTTAAATCCAGTCTGCTTATCAAATCGATGTAAATTAAATGCTATGAAAATAGAAATTTAACCAAACCACACCTTGAGGCAGAGTTGGCCATTTTTGTTGATTTAAGCTTCCCCTAGAGTTAAAAATAATGTTATTTAAGTACAAATTAGTAAATCATTCTTTGCTTCCTTGAAATTTTAGATTGTGGAGGGGTACCAAGGGGGAGTGACAGCCAGTTCGCTAAGGTTCCCCTTTACTTCAGACCAAAATAAACGTATATGATTTTCCACACCCCATTTAGACCCAACATTTTAAATACCGTTGTGGTACGCTGTCGGATAATTTATTTCAGCTTTATAGTGCAGCAAGCACTAAGATGAATGGTAAGGCAAACCGTTGTTGTACATGTGAGCCCTAAAATATTGTAAGGTTACCTTTTTTGGTTAGGAAAAAGGAATCCTACATTAACAGGAACTATCTTTTTTGGTACAAGTCTTACATCTATCCTTAAAGGATACACGTAAGATAAAAGAGAAATGAACTTTAGAAAGCTTTAGTGTCTTGGAGTCTCGGTCGGCAACCCAGAACAGCTTCAAAGGCTTCAAGTTGTAAATGCTAAAATGAGTTCTGTACAAGCAGGAAAGCGCACCAAAAACAAGAACACAAACTTTTGGTTTCTGTCCGCGGTTCATAAACACTTGCGTTAAATCTCCTCTCCACGCACGCACTGAGAAACAAACTTGACAGTTTGACTTCAGTTCTTGTATTGAGCGTTTAATTTTTGATAAGAGCTCTAGAGAGGACAAAATGTTCAGACTGCTTGTCAACGTATTCAAAGAGTGTCTTTTGAAATGATTTCTTTTCAGCTCCAGTATTACCTTAGGAATTAGGTGAGTTTGGAGCGAGAAGTAGAAGCAGGCTACACTGTCTGATAAGCGAGGAAGAAGGAAAGAAGTGCCACAATTAGTTAAGAATGCGATTAGACAATGTGGTGCTTGTTTCTGATCAGAAGAGGGAACATTTAGTGGCTGCAGGAAATAAACAAAGTTACGGTCACAGACTTTGCGCAAACTCATAAATACGAGGGCTAAAATGACTAAAATGCTCTTATTAGACAAGACAAGCTCAACATGTTATTCTCTCAAGTGTACTTGTTATACATTTCGGACACCCACCTTAACTGAAGTTTAATTTATGGTACTGGGAAAATGTTTTTCGAGTGATCACGTTTATTTGTTTGGTTTGTTTTAATTTGTTTGTTTGTTTGTTTGTTTGTTTGTTTTTTAAAAGCTACCTGGAACATTATTCTACACATTATATAAAGTACAATTTTCTTTAATCTTATCAGATCAGCTGATCGTATTAAGATAGGGTTCTTTATAGATACAAATTCAAGCATAACCAAAAACAAAAGTTACAAAACAATAATAATTTTAAAAAAAAACTTACGAGCGCTTTCTTCTCCAAAAGCAAAATAACACAACCCCCACGACACAGATAAAAGCAACAACTCCCGCAATTATGGCTGACAACATCAGAACGTTCAGTCTACTTGCCTCTGCCTCACTTGAATCAATATCCTGGAAATTGGACCACAAAAATCACTGTACTGCAGACTACTTATCTCGTACTCATACCTCACTCGGTTTGAAGCTGCTTGCATGGCCGTGGGAGAACTGTGTTCGAGATTAGCAGGTTACAGTGCGGATAGTAGTACGGTTATAAAAGGAAGGCTTAATCTCGGGCGGTGGGAGAGGGGGCGCAACCCTGCAACCTCCCTCTAGATCCGCCCTGAAGAGGATATACTGGGGGTGGGGAATGAGGGTGCCTTGGCGAAGGATAATTTCACACGTGGCCATATGGAATCTTCAAATGGGTGAGAAATGACGCGTTTTTAAAGGGGCTCAGTCATGGTATTTTGAGTTATTCTGGTCACATACAAAATTACCTTTAAATGGTAGGAAACCTGAAAATAACAGTTTAATAAGATAGAAAAACACCAAAGAGATTATGATAAACCATAAAGGAACAAGGATGGCTAAGGATGGAGAAGATTGACACGGATTACAAACGACGAATTTGAAAAACTGAGGCTAAACTTTTCAATATGCGCAAACCGTGACTGAGCTCCTTTAACAGATAGCTATCACCTAAAATCTGCAAATTTTACTGATAGCTGGGAAAGAGGATGAGATTTTATGTGATTATTGTGAATCGCGGAAAATTAAATTGACGACTGATATTCCAGCACCCCCATCAAAGACCCTCTGTTATTATTGCATAAATTCAGTAAGGAAACATTTTCCGATGAAAGTTTCCAGCCTGGATTTAAAGAGAATAATTCTTATTTAATTACGCACCTGTCTAGTTACGTTGTTGGTCCTCTTTGTCGTCTGGGGAATACTAGTTTTTTCTAAAAAAAAACCCAGAAAATTTCAATTCCTTGTCGAAGCTCTCAAAGTTCCGCATTGTTGTTGATTATAATTTAACGCGCGCATTAGAAACATGGCGGAAACTTTTTAGCGACTAACTTCATCAAAGACATAAACAGTAATTACAAATAATCACGAAACATACCTAGCTTTATTGCATTTTCAATTCCAGCGACGATACAATTTGAATGAACATTGACGCATTGACCACGCATACTTTTTTTTCTTAATTCGATCTTTTTGGACTTTGCATGGTAAAGGACAACCAGGAAAAATTTCAGAAAATTGCCATATCAACATAATATCAAAAGGAATTACTTTGAATATCTTGTAGAGATTGGCTGCATTTCACTAGCGCTGGAAAAGAGTCAACCTTTATCATGCGCAAGAAGAAGGCAACCTGCGCCAAGCGCGTGAAAACATAGAAACTATCTCAGGGGTGTTATAAGTCGCGAAAGCCAACACTCGTACGATCAGTTATAGCTTAAAGTTCATTAGCTACAGTGAATTATTATAAAACTACTTTTATGGAGTAAATACCAAACATACCTTTTGTTCCAGTCGTCGTTTTTCCTTCTTCAGTAGAAGTTGAGTACAAAACGGTCGCAGCCGTTGTCTGACGGGCGGTCGTAGTTGAATAAAAAATGGTGGCAGCCGTTGTCTGGCACGCAGTCGTTGGCTGGCGCGCAGTCGTTGTCTGGCGCGCAGTCGTCTTTTTTGAAAGTGTCGCAGTTGTTGGCAATGGTACAGGAGGTGACGAACAGCATTTGCACACACACGTTTTTCGGCAGTTCTTTACCAGATCAGCGGCGGTGGCTGGTCTCCAACAGTTTCCAAGTTGCATTTGACAATACTGGTCGTTATAAATGTTGACACACGCTGTGAAGAAGTTACAGTCATAACTTTTTAAAAAGAACTACATCGCTGATTGCGCATCTTGAAGAAGTCCTCTTCGGCTTATAATTCCTCGACTATTCACAGACTCCCTATTTTCAACGCGAGCGAAAGAAAAAGCAAGCGTGAGCGCGAAGAACAAGGGGACGGCGTTCAACGATCGAATAAAAATACGAGAAAATAGCGGGCTGTGAAAAGTCCATATAATTCTTCGTTGGTTTTATTCTACCTTGAAAAAAGCTTAACTAAAGTTGCACTCAGTGCAGGCCGCTGGCCTAAGGGCACTGCCGGACCTTACCCCGTTTCCATGGCATTAAGTGAAAAGGAGCGTGGCTACTCCCCGGCCGTGCAGAACGGAATGCTAATACATCACAGTTTAGCCTCCATGATTTTGGGAAGTTTCCATCACAGATCGCTGGTTCCAATTTTTTTACCAGAGACACTGTAGATCCAAATGTCTTACAACAGACCGCAGTGACTCCAACGAGGGCTAGAACCCAGACCAATCAATCTGCCTCCGTAGTTAGTAGCACGAACTATAAAGCCATTGCTATTTCTGTCAGGTTTTTTCGATTTGAAGAAGACTTATTATATATTGTTAACACTCGATACCGCAACAAAGTGTTGCAGACTGGGCCGTGGGTATAAAACATCAGTGTATAGACTGCAAGTGCGATACACATAAGCATATAGTACAATAGTTCGCAGCTTTGCACAAACCCTCGTGAATGAATCAATTTTTATAGATGGTCGACGAGAACTAAGGCAATGATTTTCCAGGGAACGTTTTGGGGAGAAGCATACACTTAATAGTGCGTAGCTTTGCACAAACCCTTTGCGATTGAATCAAATTTTATAGATGGTCGACGAGAACAAAGGCAATGACTTTCCAGGGAACGTTTTGGGGAGCAAAGCAACTAGCCTTTAAGTTTTCGCTGTAGAAAGTACGCATGGTCTCCGTATGTTATGAATCAGAAAGCTTATGGAAGTTAATACTGAAATTAAAGCTACGGTAACAACAACAACAACAACAACAACAACAACAACAACAACAGGTACAAGAGTAACTCACTCACCAGGAACTCCCAAACACACTTGACAGCTTTTAGGACAATTTTGAAGCATCCATAATGGATTTCTTGTACACNAGTTCATCCGTTTTAATATGAATTTTACAAGCTTTTAAATAAGAGTTCTAAATCCATTGAAAATAAAACGCATTGGGATAACTTGTACTGTCAAGTCAAGCACAACATTGTACATATTTGATTACAAAAATTGAGCAATCAAATTTGAAAGTAAACAAATAAAGAAAATGAAAGAAATAAAATACCAGCTGTCTTATGGTTGCATGGCAGGCATGTCTTTAAATTAGCTTTCCGGGAAAGCAAAATCTGTTATTATAAAACCAGATCTTATTAGCTAACGACGGGTCCCTGAAGCCGGCTGGGGTTAGCAGAAGTTGGAGAGTGAAATGTAATAGGGTAACGCAATGTCCTTATTGAGAAAGCATTGTGCAAAAATGATGTAATAAAGACATTGCAACACTCCGCAAAAATGCCAAAATCAGATAAATACGACCTTATTGTGGGATACAGTGCGTTATAGCAATTTCGCAGAGAGCACTGCCCGGAACACTGTCATTTAGAAATTACCATCAATGAAAGCTATAATTACTTAGAGATAGGTAAGTCAATACTCTACGAGAACACAAGTGTATGTGAAGGGCCTTGAAAGGCTTTCAATATCTTTAACTTCCCTTTTAAAATAGTAAACATACTCACGCATAAGTGTGTCTAACCTGCAATGAAGAAGTTGTCTGGGCGTAACACTCCAGCAAAAATGAAGATCAATGTAATCGCGTTGATAATCGTCCACTTTAAAATCATTTGGATGGTTGAATGTGATTTTCTGCCACAACTCACAACTGCCTAAGACCACGGCCAGGACTAAGTCGTTTTCTGTCATCGAATGCGGTGCAAAAATCTAAGAGAGTGGGAATCGAACGCCAACTTTAAAACCATTTCCTCACCGTCATACCGCAAAGAATTGAGGCCCAGAAATTACGAAAGATCGGCCAGTCTTTAGATTTGCACCTTTTCCTGTGACGTTGTCTACAAAGAATTATTTCTCTTTTCTTCTCGAGAAGTAAGCTAAGGCATGTTTAAGGCATGCTGATAAACCCGAACTATTCTTGTCATTTTGCCCCTCTAAGCCAGCCGAGAATAAAACAAACAGTTTGCTGAGTTTTGCGATCGAAGGTCTTCATTCATCGATCTCGCGGTAGGAAACTTGAAGATGTTGTTGAGAGACTTTTGCCATGGGTCAGTTTACGTATGTTTCGTTAATAATTATTTTTTCTATTAATAATTATATGTTGAAAATGTAAGCTTTTGATTGCGTGCTATGTAATATGCAGATTTACACCTATCGTTGGTTTGCGCGATAAAAAAGGTTTTTCGCTTGTCAATTTGGTCACGTACAAAACATCAAACTCTGGTTGATACGGTCAATAGATTTCTACGAAATTTTTCTGTTTCAAAATTAGAACCGGAGGCTATTTATTAATAAAATTAACAATACGTGGTCCACCTCCGCCCCTTTTGAGTCTTCCTCATTGTTTTGGGAACGTGGCTCCCTTCCCACCCCTCCTTAATCACAAATAACACAGTATCATGTCTTTGTAGGTTTTCTTTTACATATTTACCTATCTTCCTTGAGATAAACTACCATGGACAAAGCGAAAATGTCCATTATTCGTCGTTCTTTTCACTTTTAGTTTCGCTTTTTGCACGCTGTAGTTGTATAGCCACTATCCCGTCCCACCCCCTGCAGTGGAAGATTCTTGAAATTTTTGCATGAAGCTTTACTTGACGTACCTTCCGGAAAAACAAATCGATTTCTAAAAATGGCGGACGAACATGACCTCGCGCTTGAAACTCTTCTCCTGTTTATTACTTGAGTTTTATGCGTAATACTTGCACAATACGCTGGCCAAAACGTGCTACGGCCTACGAAAGAGAGTTGGATTGAGCTCAAAAAGGTTTAAATCGTTATCAGCTTACTCTTAACGACCAAAAATAGCAAATGAGCCAATACAGTTGGCGTCGCTTCATCGACGAATGAGATTCGAGAACATACAACAACAAGAAGCGATTATTCAGGGCTATCAACAGCTGTATGAGAAGAGCTTCATACCTGACACGAAAAATAGTTTTATGGTTCAATGTGGCAGCTTTTTCAATTTAATCTCGAAAGGAAACTTTAGAACTGGATTGCGTTATTTTCAACTGAATCGTGCTTGCCAGCTCGTCAGACGTGCGAAACAAAGCGACTTCCGGTGATCAAGGTATAAAACATAGTTGCGGAGCTTAAATTTCCTGAAAGATCGACAGTTGTGTGTTGTGTGGGAAGTATTTCTGCGTTCAAGATCAAGAAGTTACTGATTCTTACGTGAACGTGGCCGGAATTTCAAGTGTATACACCGTTTTAAGGCTTGTTTCGGTAGACTACAACTACACCGATCGAATAAGTTTTTCACAGACGAACAAATTTGAGACGTAAACGTTGCCTTACTAGCAAGACTGACGCGAACATGTGGGATAGATATTATGTTACGATGCGGAACAAAGCTGGAGAGTCTAAGTTTTCGACGGGCAACATGAAGCTGGAAAAAGCGAAGTTTTATATACAAGCTTTTGTTTTACTTTATTTGTTTGTGTATACATCGGCGGAGGCACAGTTAGGATGTTCGGTAACCCGCGCTCGATTTGGAGATCGCTTTGTTTTCTTCAATTACTCAGGAACTTGTAACAGAGGAATAAATCCGTGTAAACAGATCGACGGTGTGTGGAGAAACTCAGCGAGAAACTGTTTATGCCAGTGTGTGAGGTCAAACAGTACTTACAGAGAAGATCTGCGATCTTGTGTCGAAAACGAAGCTAGTCGTGAAGGTAGGAACCCATATATAAAATTGAAATGGTCATAATTGTCAAAGTCAATTTTGTTGCATGGTTGTAACATCAGTAAGTAAGTAAGTCAAGTTCATCACTGATGATGAACCACGTAACGTCTTTTAGCTATGTCAATATAGCCATGATCAACAGACATGATTTATCAACTGTCTCTTTACAAAGTTTGGCAAATCCTCTGTTTAGTAGGACAGTATGCCTGTACATAAATGAACTGACTTGCTTTGTTGCATTCTAGAATTACAAACTAAGGTGATAATTTCTAGCAATCAATATGGGGTGTATGAATCAAAGTGAGTGCTAAATAAGTGCAGGACCTCCCAACCCCATGTGCATTGAACATGAAAATAATACAATACTGTAAACTGCTGCTTATGAGTAAGCCCTTGCACTTATAAGCCCCTCCCCCTTCCCCAGTTATAGCTCATCTACTTGTAAGCAAAATATCACTTCTGACTATAAGCCTGCCCAGACAGAAGCCTTCCTCTAGTTTAAAATGAATTGAAATTGATTTTTTATGATGTTCTTAAGCTCAATTAAAAACCAGTATATCAAAAACATATTTCAATCATATGCGAAAACGTATGTGACTGGCATATCGGCAGATGGCGTCACGGTTCCTGCCTTAACAAACTCTGTTGAATGAATTTGGTTTGATATTTGGAATGATGGCAGCTGTTGGTAGACTTGTTTTGTTGAGCAACAGTGACGAAATTGTGCTTTCTGAAAAGTTCTCAGGAATGTCTCCCAACATGACAAGAAAACAGAAAAAGAGGATATTATGCTGGTCGATTGACAAGCAGTCATCAAATACTTTGTCTTTTTTGTGCAAAACTGATAAATGGCAGCACATATCCAAAGCATCAACTGCTATCTGCTATCTATATATAATTATATATACGAATTCTATGCAATTTTAAGTACTTAAAACTAGCTCAGATTTATTTTGCTTGGTTGCACCCACTATGTAGTGTGCTGATTAAGCCATTATTTTTAGAAACCCAGCACAATGGAACCCTGTTAACATGGTCATCAACGGGCCATGATAATGTGGATATTTTGGCTTCAATTTTCTCGAAAACGAAAAGCAAACTGGCGAAAAAAAACAGCAAGGCATTGTTAAGTAAGTAAATTGAAAGCCACATGCAAAAAATCAGGCACTTTTGACAAAAAAATTTTTTGACCTAAATAGTCACTTAGGAGGATTTTCCACTAGCATCTTCAATTGAGTGACATCTTAACAGAAGTAACAGATATAATTATCACAGTTGCACTTCTAAGCAACTGTTCCTTTAATTTAAGCATCCAAAATGCAGATGTAATTTTAAAAAAATAATTGAACAAAAAATTGGAAAGATTACAGGATTAAACAAGTTGGGATTTAACAATGGGGTATTTGGCCATATTAACGGGGTAGCCGTATTAACAGGGTTTCATTATAAAAAATTGTATGGGTGTTTCACTGGGATAAAAAAAGTGGCCGTCATAACAAGGTTATGGTAAGGCAGGGTTTATCTATCCCAGCTTAATGGTTGTTATGTTCAAGAATATTGTTATTACATGTAAATAACAATACTTTACTGTTTTATTTTCAGAGTGTGATTTGTTCTTCCTTAAAGAACAAGATTCACAGCCTCTGAGAGTATTCAACAATTCTAGTTCCATTAAACTGAAAAGTCTACCCAAAGAAGATTGTTTCGTAACAGGAACAGCTTATCTTGTGGCTGATAGCTCTGTTACCTGGCAACAATTTAAAGGCAACAAGCTGCCATTTTTCATTCACCATGAAGACAGGAAGAGGCCCAAACATGCTCACTCCTTGCAAGTATGTTTAGATTTATTTTTTCTCCTGATAAAAATGTGGTTGGGGGAGTGATATGCAATGGACTAGCTTTAGTGTCTTTTTTTTTTTTTTCATGTCCACGAGTTTGGTCATGTGGACACGAGGATACGGAGTGAATCTGGTGCATTCCTGTCTGAGACATTCCTGTGTAACCATTCTTTGCATTCCTAATGTATGATTTCCTAAAGGTGGTTCAGGCAACTTGCGGTTTAATCAATTTTGGCTATACGAAAGACAGGTATAAAACCAACGATGAATTGATGGTGTTTGGTGCTATTGATTTTGGAAATGCAAGTTTCAACCATGCTGCACAGATTCAAGGCACTTTTAATTGTTTATTTATCTTTTTTTACAGTGACTGGGATGTACAGTAGACCTTGGAGACTTAAGCATTAGTAGCTATTTGTAATACACTGTTTTAAGCATTTTATTTTTTTAGTGTCGAGCCCTTGGTTCACGTAACCCACTTGCGTTTTGATCAAATTTGACAACAAATAACAGGCTTAAAATGTTGAAGTGACAGGTTTCAGTCACACAGAAAAACCTAAAGATGACAATAAGTGGATTGAAAACTAACCTCCAAAGCACATTTTCTGCAAATAAGCAAACAGGTATAACTCAAAACAACTAATTGTTAGGTCTATGATCAATATCTCACTGTATATACATGTATACCACCAATGGGTCAGATCCGTGCATGAGACCTGATTGAATTGCATTTAGTAATGTTCCTTACTGGTAGATTTTATTTTTAGCACAAGAGTAGCCTGTACACGTATAGCACATCGGGATGTACACAGGCTAGCATGAAAGCATAATCTAAACTTTGGAGCAATACACAAATTATCTGGAACTTATTCTCGCTGACTGATTTTCAATTCCTCTGATATCAGTAATATCATTTCAATCCATAAAATAAAGCAACAAACAACAGATTTAAGCTCAAAATTAGCTGAAATACAGAGTGGCATAAACGTTCCTGAAATGGAAGAAATCGAGCTCCAAACTGTGTGACAATCTTTTTCAGGAAACCCTTCAGGGTTGTAAATACTGAAGTCCCAAAGAACTATATGCAACCCTAACATAAGAAAAATGTAGGGATCACAATGAGCCAATTAAAAACTATAATGCACTCTTTCAAGCAAGCAAACAGGTATAAATCACAAAAGTTAATTGTCAATAAGGTTTGAATTGGGCCAGATCAAGGCAGATCAAATTTTATTCATAAAATTATAGTGCAAAGTGAAAAATAGTGTATCCTGTTTACTTGATCTAGCGTTATGCTTGCATTACACTTGTTTGGTTTGGCAGTGAATTTCTTCCCACAAGTGACACAAAGCAGTTTAGATCTTTGATTTGCTTTAAAATCTGTGGGGAAATGTAAAACATTGAGCCAATAAGCACAAGTAGTGAGCAGTAAGGCCATGAGCTGTGAGTAGAACTGTTGAAGACTTTGGTTAGAGACTAGCAATCTTGGGGGATTAGCAATAAGCAATTACAAGAATTTTAACTGTCGTTTATTAATTGAATAACAGTCATGTCCTTTATGACTTTTTTGATTGTCCTTTTAGTGGAGAGGGAAGCCAGTGGCTGAGTTATTTGGAAAAGTTGTCAAAGTCGATGTTCAGTGTCAGAGAACCAGAGGACGAGGAAGTGACACACTCAAAAAGCTGTGTATTATGTTCAAAGTGAAAGGAAGTTCCACCAACTTGCCTTGTATGTAACACTTTCTTACAAGTACTCTGACTTTACAGTGTTTGACAAAGTAGTTAAGTACTAGTCATACAAAGTAACTCTTTAAAGTGAAAACTCCCTTGG